CAGTACATTCCTCCTTGAAAAGTTGTGATTAAACAAGAACATCAGAGAAGCTCACTTTTCAATCTGGACCTCATGGAGGACTAAGTTTAGGATGACACAACTGGAAATGGTGAGACAAGGATAAAGAGAAGATAAAAGAAAGAGCAGAAGATGACTACCAAACATATGGAAATGAGTGCAGAGTGAAATGGAAAGAAGGAGGCACAGAAATTCCAAATCTTACTTTATTGTAGAGACTGTATAAAAATAGATCGAGCTCCACATTTTCAGTTAAGAAGAGAAATGGAAAATAAAAGCTTTCAGGCTTCATTGCATAGAGGGTAATGAGATTGTTCTCCACCCTGTAAGTGCCATAGGGTAATGCCAAAAGATGATCACCACAGAAACAATAATGACATGCAGTATCTACATAAAGACATGCACTGTGGGTCTGAAATATTGGAATATTATGACAGTATCACCTACACATAAAGATTTGTTGAATTTGGTTGAACTACAAATCTTTTTGAGGTTCAGATTCTTGAGTATAAGTACTAATGTGTTTTCCTGGCAGAAAACTGAACCAAAGGACAAAGGGTAAATGTTGATAATTTGACAGTTAGTTTGACAGTAGTCCAAGCTAATAGTTAGCTACCTATGGCCTCTGAGAAAGAATTGCTATTTTTTCATTAAAGTAGGATCAGAACTAAGTTTGTAATTTCCTTGTATTCACTGGTAGCTACATTCTCTGATTAGTGGGTTAACAGAAATCTAAGTGTAAATGTTCTGTCAGCATGTTGCATGTTGTCTGGGATTGATTTATGGATAATCAATATTTGATTTAAAAATTTACTTAATTCTTTTTTCTTTTAAATACTATTAAAAGTGTTTCAAATGTTGCCTTTTTATAGTATTTTTAATTCTACAATAGGATTACAGTTCTGTAAGTGTTAGGAAGAACTTCTACAATAAGCAGTTAATAAGGAAAAATGATTAGGAAAGGCTTCAAGGTAAGATTAAACTGGATTTAACTTACGAATATTTTAATATTACTAGCTATTGCTAGATGGGTGGTTAATTGTTTTGCCATCATAATCAAGTTTACTCATCAATATGTTGCTTTTCACAAGCATTATAACCAAAATATTAAAGTTTGGAAGAAACTCTTAATCAAACCAGTAACAGAATTAAAACCAAATAAATTATTTTGTTATTTCTATTTTGTTACACCAATGAGAACATTGACCAGGCTGTATAAGTGCTTCGACCTGTCAATAAACTATGCACAAAGACAGAAGTTTTCAGCTGAACTTTGGATAAAAGAGGAGAGTCACACAATCTTCACAGCCTTAAATAAACAAGAAGTCTTAAAGTGAAGTATGGGTGGTAAGGAATAATTAGGATAACCCTGGAACAATTTAATTGAGTGACAGTGTCATCTTTCTGCAAGCCAGGAAATGTGAGTGATGGAATTTTTAGAGCTAAAATAACCAAAAGGCAACACAGGAAGATTTTTTTTTCTAACTTTTACTGATTCAGTTATTTTGATTATGACTAGATCATAAGCATTATTTGAAGTCTCAGGTGTGTGCTATATTTTATTTTATGAAGGAGTTAAAAAAAAAAAACAACAACACCAATGTGCTAGCAGAATTCTAGTTAGAAAGCTGCACTATGATTTGTGTTGTTACAGTACACACAGGATATTGTGGATTAGTAGGACATGATATAAAGGCTGTACTAGCACAAATGCAATATTTTCTCTACTGAGCTACTGAGCTATATGGCAAATTGAAAAAATTATGAAAGTGTTCCAAATTATGCAGTACAAAAAGTCACTACACTACACTATCAACTCTATGCTAAACTAACAATCATTGTCTAATATACATTAGAGAAGTATTTATCACAAATTTTGAAGAGGTTGAACTCTTTATAGATGACTGGAAATAATTCATGAAAAGCAGAACGAGGAATAAAAGATGAAGAGACAGTAACAGTACAGATTGGAAAATGCAGGACAGAAGGGATCTCGGCTTGGGATGCAGATAAAAAATGCCTTTATATTCCTCTGTAAAGCCCAGGGCAGGAGTCAAATCTGCTGATACTCACTCCTCTTTTGCTGTCAGCAAATATCTATGAAATGCATTAGCAACATTCCCCACCTCCTTCTGGTGTCAATCCATTCAGAGTGCTACACCTTTCACTGCTGTATTCTATCACAGTACTTCAGGTGATCTATACAGCAGACACCAAAAGCCTCAAGATGCCAGTAGGATCCCACATTATGGACTTTCTGCTTCTTTTCAGCTTGCTCTTTTTAAAAGCAAGGAAATTATTCTCCCAAACCTTTCACACAAAAATATAACAAATGTAAATGAAGTAGTTCACAGTTTAAAAATTCCCAAATCAAAGTTGCTTATGTAGCTTTGGTTTAGCTGCTTTGTGCCCATATGCATTATCATTTACATGATCACATCTCCTCCCCTCTTAGGCAGAGAAGAAGAGCAGAAATGAGAGCTGTATAAAGGATGTTATCATCCATAGGACTCCTACATCCCTGCTTTTGAATATATGCCTTTGTACCAACTTCAGTATGATGGCTTAGTAGCAGAGAACAATAAGAATATTAATGTGATGGCAACAGGGGATGGGCTGGTGAGACAAGAAGCTTGAAACATGGAGAAATGTAGAAAAAAAATGACAAAGGAAATAAGACAGAGTAACTGGATCGAGTGGAAGGTAGGACTGTATAAAGAGTTTGGGGGGAGAGAAAGTAACTGCTGTTCTGGATCACCAGACTCTATTCTGCTTTCTCTGTACAGCTCATTCCTTTTCACAAATGGTGAACCATTCATTGTGTAGAATTGCCTAATTCCCACAGCTCCAAGAGAATTCACTGGGAAGTTGGCCTTGAATATATATAGTTCTCTGTAGAGTGAAGAGCTAGGTGAGTCCTGTAAGTATCAAATTGAGCAATTAAAATGATATGGTTAGATTTTCTCACTTTAAACTGGTGTTAATACCAACCCTGACTTATTTCAGTGTATAATTGTAGGTGAAAATAAATTCCAAGTGAAAATAAATGAATCCCCTTTTTACCAAGATATATTAATAAGGAAACACTCGGGTGTGGTGTTAGTGACACGTATGTGAGTGAATTAGTTGTCATATCCTGAAAGTACAGATTGAGAAAAGTGCAGTGAAGAACAAACGGGGCCACACATGGGATAATGAGGAAAACAAAGGAAATCCATTAGTTGCTTAAGAAGTTATTATTGTCTGTTCAGTGCAACATACTATTTGTTATTCAATGGAAAAATAAGTGATCAGAAAATGAAGATTTGCCTTGTAATGAAGACGCAAAAGAGATCCAAGTTAAGTTAGCTTGTCTAAAATTCTATGACTTTCTAAAATTTGTACTAATTTAATTAGCATTTTAATGTGTGCAGTAGGTACTACGATAATAACTCCTAACTAAATAGGAATTGTAGGTTAGTTAAACCTGTTTCTGTAATTTTAAGTATGACTTAATCTTGTTTTCTTTGCTTTCAAAATAGGTAGAGAAAATGGTAGAGAAAGGAGTGGGAATCAAATTCAAGCAATCTTTTATTCTCTCTGGTCTACATAAAGTAGGCTTGACTGTAGGTATCTGAGAAAAGTAGAGGAACGGGATCATCCCGGAGCACTTTCCCAACTTAACTAAACTTTATAAAGGGTTAAAGCAGCAAAGTATGTACTTAAAGTATTATGCTGGCTGCCCCAACAGTCTTGTCTATGTAACAGCTTTATCTATGTAATTGCAGCTCCCTGATCATCTTCAGCACATGCCAACCAAAAAGTCAGGCCAAAATCTGAGTTTCTCTGGGGTTATTTACCCACATTCTGCTTATGATTATATATATATATATATATATATATATATATATGTTCAGTGACCTCATTTACAGCCTTTCCTTTCGCATATCACATTGTCTTCTAGCAAAAGATAGCAATACGATCTGAACTGACAGTTCAAAAAAGTAACTTTAGACTGGAGGGGTAATACATGTGAATTTTGTACCTCTTCCTTGCACTTAGTGACTAGATTAAATAAGACTAGAGAGATATCTAACTTAAGTAGGTTTCTCATGCTTGCTTTCTTATCTTTCCCACAAGTTAAAGTTTGTTTTTTCATCAAAGTACTGAACTCAAGAAATCCTAGTTAAGGCAATAATGTATGGTAAAGACAGAATAATGCTTAGCATAGCACCATAAGCTACCCATTCATATTTTTCCTACTCAATTTTTTTCTTGCTACATATGAAAATCTTTCCATGTTAACCATACTGCCATCTCAGGAATACCACTAACTCATAGCACTTACAAACCCTACAGTTCTTCAACATTCAGAATTCCAATCAAGCACATGGTGCAGGAAGACAAATTGAACCTGTTTCACAATTCTTTAAGTCTCAAGGCTCACAATTGTCATCTCAAAGAACTGAAAGAAAATTGTGAGGAATGCATTTTAAGTAGGGGAATAACTAAGTTGACACTAAGAAACAGTCAAATGAGAAAATGCATTAAGCCATTAACAGTGATACAAACCTGGGGAAGATTATGCAAGCTTTAGGAAGAAACAGACTGTTTCCTTTCCCCTCTAGTCTAACTCTGAGGAATATCATTTCACTAGTTATGTAGTCAGAAGTATTTCATCAGTCTAATCTTGTGAGAATTCTCTGTTCTAACTAGCAAATTCAAATGTTCAGAAAAGAACTGGAGTTCAGACATCTAGATGAATTTCACCACTATCACTTAATGAATACTCAAAAGAAAATACTACGTCAACAGATTTACGTATAGACCCAGCCTATATGGAATTTCTAGAGAATTCACACACTTCTGAAGCACAGATCAACCACCTCCGCAGCATCTAGCAGCTCTCCAGATAGACTGCATTTCTAATTTCTGATGTAACTATACACTGTTTGTGGTAAAATAAATATTTATAAGGAAAATATTTGTTCTTTATATCTTACTTGAGTTCTTGTGAGCTTGTGGCCAGCATACTTCGAATGCTTTTGTCAGCCAAGGGACATCCAGACAAACTGTAAGACATGGTAGGACAGACAAGTAAATTAATCTTCTCATTAATTGAACGTTCCCAACAAACACAACATAAAAATTAAAAAGTAAAAGTTTGTAATGCAGAAAAGCGATGGGGCAAGTGCTGTAATATTGAATTTTGTAATATAGTTAACCCTCTGAATATATTTAGATATCAACATTACTTCCAAAATTACATACTGTAAATGTTCTTTTTTTGTTTCTCTATAAACTAGTAAAATGTAACAAAAATATTTGTGGTTCCTGGGTTAACTACTTAAATGCTGAGAATGCTTTGGAAATTTTAGTAATCTATTTAAAAATAAAAGACGCTTATACAACACACAAATTAGCATGCTTTTAAGATCAACATATACTACTCAAAGGGTTAACACATAGTTCAACGTTTTACTTTGACAGCATTGTTGAGGTAAGCTGAAAACAATAAATTGAAAAGACAGAATCCACCATGAAAAAAATGAAGTCACACCTTCTATGTGAGGCGTAATTACCAGTCACATGACCACTCCCATCACACCCTGGTGTTGGACATCTGCCACCAAACAAAAACAAAAACAGCCAAAATAGTAAGTATGTTTAAAAAAAAAGCTTTTAAAAGTTTCATTGTTTCCAGTTTAGCTGCAATGACTGCAAGGGGTTTTAAGCATCCTAATTGAAAAGCTGCAAAATGAACAGGATTAAATGAAAATGGCGTCTCAATACAATATAGCATCATTAAGAACAAGCAAATACACATTAGCTTATCACTTTACTTAACTGGCAGTTTGAAACATTTATATGCTGCAAATGTTGCATGCTCATACTGCAAGGCGTATATGTACTTGTTTGTTTAAAAAAGACAAGAGAGAAAAGGTTAAAAGGAGAAAAATAATTTCACCTCACATTATGCTTACGTTATTAAATCCTTTTTGCTCTCTTTGCATTGAGGGTATTTGGGTTTAGGACTTGGGATTGTAACTTCACCAGGATACCTTCTTTCTTCAAGTGCCTCTTGGAAAGGATCCAAATCTTCTGGCTACAGGCAAATATATGACCATTAGTCTCAGCTAGGTGAGGTTACAACTTTCATAAAATATTACAAATTAGAGTCATCAGAGATTATCTCCTTTTTTATCTTACTTCATTGGAGAAAAACCATGAAATTATTTCATATTCTTTCACCTATCAAACTTTTAAAAAGTCCTTGCATATTCTGATGCAGTCTTTGCAGTGTGGGGGGATTAATTAGACTATTTAATTAAAGAGAAAAAAAAAAAAAAGCAAAAAATTGATTTTTTATATAACTGATGTATTATTTTCATTTAAGATAAGTAGTTGATACTTTTTCTAAAGACACTGCAGGACTGAGGAATAGGAATAAAGAATAAGTGTAGCATCTGATTCACCAAAGAGCTATCTTAATAACTTTAGTAGTTTAGAACACACCAAAGATGAAATAGGAACAAATTTAACGACTGTAAGTTTGGAGCAAACTTCAGTGGATCTGTCTGGCAAAATGTAATTATATAATTTAGAATTAACATTACTGATGCACTCAGTAATTCAAAACCGTCTATTTCAGGAACAAAGTGGTTAAATGCATTGACTCAGAGATTCCTGCAGATGGTGCTACAAACACCACAGCAGAAATGTATCATTATGTTTGCTCTGAGAAACACTTCATATTGTATTTTTCACCTCATATTTCATTGATAAAGATAGATTTCCTAATTCCAGTGAAATTAATAGCAGAACTGTGACTAATACAAGAGATAGAATGTATGCAGTACACAGTGGAAATGTTACTTTGTCATATGTGTCAAAGGCATTGAACTTAGTTTTAATTAAAATTGGCCTGAAATCTATCACACACAAATTATTAGCCTAATTTTAATAGTTTAAATTTACACCAAGGAAAAACAAAGAACACTGTACTGAAGTCTCCAAACATCTATTAAATACTGAATGTAGCAGTGTAAGCTATACACTGGATAAGAGCTGAAATCTGACGATCAAAATCAGTGGCATTAAAACTTGTCAGCAGGTTTATTTCAGTGTCCTGGCTCACATAAGAACACATCCCACATGATCTAAGTATTGAAACATAAATTCACTAGCTTATTTTGTTTATTTGCCTTTTCTGTTTAAAGAGTCTTGCTGTTTTCTTAGTATTCTGAATTGAAAAGTAATACCAATTTCAAATACCCCTTCTTTGTATAATTCTTTAAACAAAGTACTTCATTAATACAGGCACTTTCACACATAGAGCTAACAGGAGTACATAAGTAATCTAGAAGATTAGCTGAAATAGTTTAAAGCTTACATTACAGTCTGATGGTTTTGTTTAAATTGATTTCTAAGCAATACATACTTTCAAACATTCAGCACATCATTTATGGTTTTCAGATTCAGTGGGATATCTTATCTTGAGAGCCGATTATCCCAGTATTGCACAATTCTGTCAACTTGCTTACATAGAATATCATAATCTGGATAAAGTGAAACATCTTTTCAGCAGAAAATATTTGTTAAAAAGATGATATTGTTAGAAAACATGATTCAAATTCATGGTCCAAATGTTGTCTTATGGAACTTAGTCACAGATCGGATGTGTGTCAGCATGATGTATTCCTAAAGATTAACCAGCAGAAGTAGTTTGGTAGAAAACCACCATTTTAACACGTATTGTTTCCTTTTACCCCCCAAATATCAGAAATACAATGGATTACAAAAAGTAGACTGAATGAGAACGATTAAATGAAAAAGACATACATTAATCTCTTTGGAATCGTCTTCATCTATCCTACTGGGCTTCATTTTTGTGTAGTCCACTGGTAAGTCCCAGCAGTCACCCTCATTCAGTTGGTAACAGCGGTTGTTCATCACAGCTTGTCGTTGTGGTGACATTGGCTCCAGTGGTGTCAAAATGGTACAGCAACCATCTCGCTGCCTCTGCTTGTTCATACTCAGGTCCAAGGTTCCATTTTCATCGACTTCCATATCAGGATTCTGTCAAAAGAAGAAAAATATTGTTAATTTAGCTTCACACTATCAAACTGCTACCTTTCTGTGTTCTTCAATATATTTGATTGCCTAGCAGAATAATAAAATGTGTTTCCATTCCTGTATAGATTGAAAGCATTGAGCCCCCTCCCACACATAGCATGATGCTATTACACAACATTAACGCTGTTCTAGTAGATTTCTTCCTGAATGGCTAATCTGATGTTTGGGGGAACAGGGCAAGAGCCTTCATTATGCTCTCCCACTACCCAGAAAAACAGGTGCAAAAAAAAAACAGGTGAAAATGAGAAATCTCTGAAGGTATTTTCTTGTTGTCTTTATCTTCTTCGTCTACTCTGTGACAGGTGAATACTTCTCAGTTAATATCTGCATAATTCTTGTTTAAAGTCCTGACTCTTGTCCAGGTGATTAGAGTGGAAAAAAAGTAGCTAGCATCAAATAAATTTGTTTCTTTGTGTACTTAGTATTAACAGTCATTCCTTGAATAGATACTGTCAAGGAATTAAGAAGAAACAGAGAGCACCAAAATAAGTCTTTTGGACAATTTGGCAACGGTACAGGAACAGGAAATGCCTTTAAATTTCACTGTTCCTTCACTGCAGATGTAAGAGTATTAGCAATTTGTGTATCTGCCTTTATAATGAATAAATTTAGCTAATATAATAGGTGTGACAATTTCTGTGGCAACTGAGGTACTGCAAAATATAGGGTGAGTACAAGCTCTGACTTATTCCATTACAGAAACAAAAAAGTATAGTCTCATATTCTTAGGTGAGGGGGAAAAAAAAGACATTAAAACAAAAATGAATTAAAAAAAATAAAAATAAAAGAGCAAATAAAATAAAACTGCCCACAAATAATCACTGATCTGTTCAAAAGCGAAGCACAAGAAATTTGGTTTCAAAACTAGTGTGAATGCTACTGATTTCTTGTATGTCTAGAGACTCCCTCTGGTAACAAAAGAGCTGCAGGAAAGCACTGTGAATGCAAATCACTTTTTGATCAATTACTGCCTTTTCTCGTAACATAAATACAATTGATATTATCCCGCTAGTTTTATTTAGAAAATATTTGTTAATTCACTTGGAGTCATTCATCCAGATTTTACATAGGGCAAAACATTAGGAAAGAAGCACCTTCTGTTTTTAACATATAAGAAAAAAGGTATTTTATTCCAACTTCTTACATTGTGTTGATATAGAATAACTGTATTTTTTACATTCCAGAAAGAGATTTACCTCTTCAATATTACTAAAGAAGTTAATGTAAAAAGCAGCATCTGAAAAACAGTCACCAACCATTTCAGATTAAATTGGGTTCTATTGCTAGTATCTACTGCTAAGGGTTCAGTTTCCTATGAACCTTCTAGAGGCTTTTACATGGTGAAAGTAAAGAAACCTTTGTCTAAATGAAGAAGAAAAGAACATGTCTGCCAGCTCAAAATCTCTCTTATAAGCACAATAAAAATCTTCCCACTGCACTGCATCTGTCTACTCAGCCATCTAGTGGTCTCCCATAGGTATCACTGTAGTGCTTGTTGATGTATATTAAATACGAGTCTTTAAATAGCTATCAAAAAGTAATGTTTAAAATTAAAAAACAAATCTTTTGCTAAATCTTTACTGAATGCTAATAGCATACTGTTTTTCTTAGTATATAAAGCTTAACAATGTTTATTATTTGTCTCCATGGTCATTTCATAACATACTGAGACTATGAACATGCAGAACATCAGTGACTCTGCACCTGCTAAGCACCTTTGAAATCACATGTACTGGAGGATTTATTGTTTCAAATGCTTAATGAAATGACTTAAGAATTGTGATACTATACACAGGCAAGAAATTCTAACATACAAGCAGCATAGGTTTCTTTTTAATAGATCTTACAACCTTAGGTCTCATATACAACTTTTAAATGAAATTATATCATTAAATCTTGATCTTCTCACAAAATGTATGAATCAGATAGTGTTTAGCAAAAAATCTGTAGTGCAATTAATACCACTTGAGCAATTCAAACATCTTTTATAATTACAGATCTCACTAGTAAGAGACAAATTAAAAAATGAGGGAGTACATGCTATCATGCTTTCAGTTTATATACCGATCGGGTTTTCCCAAGATACTTGACAGCAGTTTCTTTTTTTTTTTTTTTTTTTTCTTCCCTGCTTTAGCAGAAACGTGAGATTATGTTAATTTTGAGTAAAAGAAAGAAAAAAAAAACACTCTTCTTTCTATCAGAGGCACAAAGCTAGTGCAGTAAAGACGAATCTTCATCAACAAACAGAATTACTGATTTTTACCCTTGCACAGAGATCCTGAGGCTTAGTGGAGAGGTTCTGAGGCATCTCCCTGCAGCGGGTGGAGAGATTCAGAATTGCAGTAGCAGCCATGTGCGCTGCCTCCATGTCATGAGTGTAGTCAAAGCTGCTCTTGCTGCAGGTACTGCTGGCACTGCTGCCTCCACCACAACTCATATTGCTGCTGCTGCTAGGGGCATAACTGCTTGTTGTGCTGCTGGTTGGACTTGAATTCTTACAGTAACGTTTAGCTGTGGGAAGAAATATGACAAGTATGACTCAAAAGAACTAGCATTCTGCATAAGTGAAGAGAAAAACAAACTGCTGGAGGTGAAATTTATAATGAGCAACAGTAACCAATACAAAAAAAAAAAAAAAAAAAAAAAAAGGAATAAGAATGATGGCTGTATTTCTTGATTTCTGCCTGTGATTTTTATATGCTAAATATATGAGTTTGTATGAAATAATCCCCCGTACAAATCTGTATGATGTGATCATGAATTCTTCTGACAAACAGGCTGGATTTAGAAAACAATAAAAACTCAAAGAAACACTGCTTTTACCCACATATAGAATCAGACACAAGGTAGAATCTGCTCAGATTGTTCAGTTTTACTAATGAGGGGGAACATAACACTATAAAACCTTTCACAGCTACATGAGCAAGTGTAGTTTTAAGGTCTAGATTCCCCAGGGCTACTGGACATCAAGCACACTCAAAGGGCTTGGGTCTCTGGACTAGAGTGCTAACCATATATTGTTAAACACTTCACACTTCCTAAAGGGATTTTTCTTCCTATACACACTAGGAGATTGGCCATCAGAAAGGAGAGGAAGACAAGAACATGATGAAAGAAGAAAGAAAGTGGCCACATGTAAGTTATCCCATGGATCTCACAAAGGCAAAAGCAATGGCTGCATAAATGGAAACAATCTTAAGTGAATCACCACCAGCTTCAAACATCCCAAGTGCTTACAATTCTTTATAAAAACAGTAAGGGCCAAAGATGCTCATTACTGCTGATACTGAGACACAGAGCACTGTATTCTGACTGGCAGAAACCGCTAACGCACTGACAAAGCTCACTTCCATTCTATTTAAATACAATGTAGAACTGCTGCACTGCATTAAGACATGCTCCTTACAGCCAAATGTATTATAATAATAATGCAAAACAGTCCTATTAGCCCACTTATTTCTCCAATCCTTCCCCCAAATAAATTATTTAAAAGCACTTCTATAAAATGCAAGAAGGTGTCAGCTTGTCTCCAAAATCTAAAAGTTTACATATTCTCACATAAAAGTCAAGGTCATAGGATACATAAATGGGTATTACCGTGACTATTTCCCCTTAAGATGGAAATGTATACTGCAGAGATCATACCGTATAGCACAGTATAACAATAACAAACTAGCATGCTGATTAGAGAGCTATACAAAAAAGGTCAGACTCTAGCTAGAGCTCTTCCGTGATGGGTTCCATTTAAATGCCAGACTCTTCGGGTGCATTTGTCTGAGCAGACATACATATAATAATCTGCTCCCATGAGCACAGCCCATTTGTGAACCACAGGCTGCTGTGCTAGGCAGGTAGTATTCAAAAGAAGAATCAGAAAGCAAAATATCTCTGCTAGAGCTTATGTCATCTCTCTCCTTCAAAAAAATGAAAAAATCACTGTGCTATTTTTACTGTAAAGGAAATAGTTTTTCACTTAATTCATAACAGATGGAAAGCCACATAATGCACAGGGTGTGATTTTTTTAAGTGAAGTTAATGCTGAACATTCATCACTTTTCTTTGTTTTAAACACATAGTAGCACTACTTTTGCAGGGTATCCACTAATAATAAACCTGTGAACAATTTCTCCAGTTTCATTATTAATACAGTAGTCAGTGGCAGTCATTAAAAATTCAGCATTTATCCATTCTTACTTTGTAATGGCATCCAATACGCACAAGAATTTTTCTATATTTAAGGAAGGAAATAATTTAATAATTCAGTTTCTACTGTGTTAACACAGCAAGCACCCTGTACAGCTAAGCATGTCAAATTAGAAATATCTTTCAAAATTTATATGAACAAATAAGGCTTATGTTACTTGCAAAAGAATGCTAGTCTTCTCACAGGAGGTCACATTTAAATGAACATAAGAGACATACTACATGTGAAATCATATATGTAACAATGTGTGTTAAAGGGAGGAAATAGGCAGCTTTATACATAGGACTAACCATCAGAAACTCATGCAGGCTCTGATATGGACTCCTCTGTGGCCTTGGTCAAGCTATATTATCCCTTGAATTCATTTTCCCTATAAATAGAAAATTCCTTCTAAAATTTAGTTGTGTTGTGATTCACTTGCAAAACACTTTGAAGGCTTAAAGTGCTATATGCATGCTACACAATTCTTAGCTTTTAGATAACCAATGATTTAAGCAAAACTTGGAGAGAAATGGCCGTGGTTATTTAAAATTAACTATAAGTGCACATTTTAAAACAACTCATATAGCCCAGACTGCTCATCCCACGTTAGCTTTTCAGGAGAAATAAAGATCACCAATTTATAATGAATTAAATCAAGTCCATTGCTAAGGAAGGGGAAGCTACACTGTTTCACTATTACATAATTCTGCTTGCTACATAGCCCAACTCTGTGACACCAGATTTTGGAGCTCTCCAGTCCACCTATGCTTTATGATCCAGCAGTGAAACCAAAGATGGATATGATAATATCTATTATTATTCCACGAATAATAGATACAAGTCTAATCCATTGTATTTCCAGCATACTGACTACCAGGCATGTCTAGGGGCTAATTACAGAGAACGTCTCTAAGTCTACAGGCTCCTCTTTCTAATTAACAACAGAGGAGTGGGAGATATCTCAACAACTTAAAGGAGCAAACTCTGATATTCTGAATGGAATTTAACTCTACTCAGAGAACCCCATCCCCAGTATTGCCTATATACTGAACTTATTAAGGACATTAATTACAGTTTCAATGATTTTTATGACTCGCACATTGAGATATTAATCTCACCTTATTTCAGGTATCTGATCTAGTCACTATAAGCTTCCTCTACCAGAATAGAAAAAATTAGAACCTTTGAGCAATGATGCACCTAGTTTAAATGTGTACTTCAGGAGAGATGAAACGGCATCAAAGAAGCATCTATGTTCCTCTATGGATCTGAAAAGGGTGATTAGTTCAGATATCGGTGGTATACATAATAGAATTCTAGATATGGTCAGACAAATCCTACCCCTAACATTTTCTCAGTGTTTTGACAGAAGGTCCCACCATTATTGGTGGGATGAGAGGAGTTTCTGTCATCATCTGAGAAACTGGAAGGGCTGCTATCTCCTCTGCATGCTGAGTCTAGCTGTTTTTTATGTCAGCTGCTGTATACCAATAACCAATTAACCCCAAGATGTGAACAACCATGAAACTGGTATAAAAGATAAGCTAAATACACAAACACAACCAGGGCTTATTCTTCAGGAGTTATTGGAGCATTCTATCTCACAATACAAAGTATCCATTTTTTGTTTGTTGTTAAAGCTTACTGAAAAAAAAAAAATCAAGAAAACAATACAAAGGATATATTTATGCTCATGTCACTCACAGACATACACTTCTTGAACACGTGCCTTTCTCTGATGATGAAAATACAATGTTCACTTACAATTAAAAATAAGACTGAAACATGAAGTTATTGATTTTTCATATTCCTGAACTGTTTGTCACCTCTCACATGGTCAGAAAAAATAGACTGCTGCTTAGATGCAAGTTCCCCAGAAGATTTAGGCTTTCTTTCAGTATTTTCAAGATGAAAATATTTTTCAAAACATAATCTGCTCTCATATAAATGTGTATGTGCTGACACACATAAGAAGTGTACACATGGTACCTCCATAGTGGTCTTGGTACAAATAATTAATAATTTATTTTACACACAACTATGAAATCACCTAAAAATGCGGCAAAATTTCTCGAGGAAAAGTGGCTCTTTTAAGTTAAGACTCTTCCTGAAATTGCCTTCATATTCAACTATTTCCAATAGCGGCCAACAAAATCTTTGTCCCACTGAATGTCAGTGTCAGGATTTTACTTATTCTTTAACTGATTTTCCTGAGGAACTCTGAAGCCATTTGCCCATTTAAGACAAACATGATGGAGTGATTATGTAATATTAAAGATCTAGGGATTCTAAAGGTTTTGTGAATATCACTGATTTGTTACAAACAAAAACTTGAATGATGCCTGGGATCAAGTCAGCATATCTGCCTGGTCAAACAATACACATCACATGCAGCTACAGCGTGTGCCAATATGCAGTATGGAGTAAATCCGTTGGAAATTTGCCTTCATTTGTCAAACAAACTGCTCCAGTTGTAATGGGCAACAGTTTTCTCAGTACACAAGAATAACGTATACTTGCTGTACTAGCATGAATCATGTGTATTTTGTGTCCCTCTGTCCCATGTGGCTTAGATAACTTAGCAGTGAAACAAGCTTGTCCCAGTCCAAAAAGATTCCCAAAGTAAAATTCTAATTCATATCAAAGGAAGGTGAGAATGTAGAAAGATAGCTATATAACTCAAATATATCATTATTTAAGATCACTGTTGAACTTGTGTTTAATGCTACATGTATTTTCAAATTCTGATGATTTGGAAAAAAGTACCCTTTCTAATTCTTTGCTGAAATAGGGTCTTAAATGAGAAAAAATATGCATTACTTGCTCAAGCATCAGTAATTCGATCCATACATATGCATATTCACAGGTTCCTTAGTAGCACACTGATTCTTGCCCTTTGCAAGAGTAGACAGAGCATATATGCAACAGTTTTTCTTATATCATTAACTTACTAACCACAGTTACAGTTAGTGCATTACCTTTAGTAATGCTCAAGCCCTTAATCTGACACAGGAAATGTGATGAGTGCATGAGAGAAGAAAAACAGCCACTTTTACTCAAAAATAAGTTGCCTTTCATACCTCTTCTCCCTTCTGCTGTAGTGGAAAAATATGCCTGTTGATTCTAAAGAAAACAAATATCCAAAAGGTGGGAGCTGTATCAATTTTCCCTTTCTCCACTTGCCTACTTTTGAATGTCAGAATCTGTGCTCGGGCAACAGCATAAATTGTTTTATGTAGTGTATTTATTTCTGTTTTCCTAACCAAAAATCTGGCATCTGCTCAAAATTTCCTACGGTAGTAAGTGAATAGCATCAAATATTTTAACAAAAAAACCAAAAACCAAAAACCAAAAACTAAAAAACATTTATTACTATATCATATACATTCATGTAATATACATATATATAAAATTTGTATTGCTCTGAAAAAATCTTGATGTCCTCATAAGTTGCAATCCAAATCCTGCATTCTTCATCATGTAGTTCATTTTTGTCCCCTAATGAAAATCCTCTTGCCTGATGGACACTATTCTATTCACTTGAACTGAAGCCACTTTCAGTCTATTTCTAAATGTAATGTGAGGTTTCCCAGAGAACTCTACAGGTGTATTCACAAGGATGAAATGAGCACAAATGCCTCATTATGTAAGTAGCAGAGATTTCTGAAGTGCAACGAGATCCAGGTTTTCTACTTCCACATCCCCACAGAGTACGTATGTTATCTTTATGAGTTACTTGAGCTGCTGTACAGAAATGAGAATCCTAATGTGACCCATGAGGCCAGGTCTCCCAGACAGCAACATAATGCAGTGTTCCTGCATCACAAGAACTAGTTCTATTCCTTAGTTTTACTGCAATCACAACACATCCCAGGAGCTTAATAGCTGGAGATGTTCTTTTGCCAGTGCAACAATTGTGAAGCAAGCACCGTATAAAACAACGCTTTTAAAAAGGCCTTTAAAAAGAACTTACACATGACAGCATTCCTCATAATACTATATGAACATGAAAACATGTCTTATTTATATGATGTTTACATATACAACAACATGATTAACTGCAAACTTGTCTCTCATGTATAAGAGTGTGCACCTCCTACCATCATATCCTTTGGGGGATATATCCCTGGATTGCACCTTGGGAGCTATGGCTCTCTTGCCATAGGCATGGTTGTCATAACTGTTATATTCAAACGTAGTCTTAGAGTATTTCTCTAGTTCCTTGGCCAAGTTGGAGCGGGGTGTGGTGGTGGGGACATTGTTTCTGTAGCCATACTGAGGGATCTCCAATTGCTTAACAAAGCACATGGGCCTAGAAATTAAAGATATGTAAAGTTTGTTAGATGCAGTTCAGTTTACTGTGTTTGTGCATAATTTATAGTTCAGATTAGAAAATCTTAGTTATTTCTTGCACTCATGAGACAGCAATATATTATTGCATTTGCTTTGTTTGGTTATTTTCAGCAGACAAACAATACATATTTTCTTGAACAAAGCCTAGACAAAATTAATTCTAATACAGCTAAATGTATTCTGTATCTAAAAGTATTTTAAAATTCTGTTTTAAAATACCCCAGGGTTCCCCTTTCCCTTTGTAATTGCATCACATAGCAAACATTTTCTTTTGGGGAGGTGAATCAAAAAAAGACAAGTGAACTGACAGAAGAAGAAGTTTGAACAAATTCCTTCAAATGTCAAAAAAAAAAAAAAAAGAAAAGCACGGAAAGCTCAATTTAATTAATGAAGTTTCCTCTAAATCTTTTTCAACAGAGTTGCATGCTGTTCTCCTGTACGTTTTCCAAAGGAGTTAGTCTTGTTTCACCCTTCAGTATAGAGTTCCAGGTTGATGCTAAGAAATACACAGGATACTCTCACTATTTCTGTGGACTTTCAGCTGCCTCATGTGTCCTGCTCACCCTTAAATGCAAGGTTCAGGCAGGAGCTGCAACGCTTGCTAAACAAATACCTCAAGGAAAGTTATCTGAAAGTTACAGAATAAACGTATATCAGCTAAATTTCTCTTTCCTTTAGGATCAGAGAGGATAGTCAGGAAAAGTCCCAACTGATCTCTTTCAGGCCCTTGAAGAAAGTTGTGAAATCTCAGTGAAGGAATCCTATAGTGAACTTCTCCACTGTCACATCGTCTTCTGCATGTGGACACAGAAGTCATTATCTTTCAGTGTATAAGGCAAGGTCAGATCCTGCAAACCTTTCCTACACAAGAAAGTGTTATAGGAAGCAGATTCTACGCAGTAATGCTTGCCTACCTACTGCATTTAGCAGGCGGTAAAGATGATGAACAGTACACCTTAGATGCTTCTGCTGGAATCAAGAATCATACTGTCAAGTTTTTTTTTTCACTCTTTTTTTTTTTCTTTTTTCTTTTTTTTTTTTTCTTTATTGCATTTACAACCAGTGGGAATAGAAGGAACAGTTGTAAGATCATAAACTCAGTCAAGACCAGAGGAAGGCTGGCAAAATGGAATGTGGTATTTATTAAGAATTAGATTTTGAATATTATGTGATATCTGAATCAATTCATTTTCATATAATTTAGGATATTTATGTAAGGAGCACCCAAAAAAATTACAGTAGTCATACTATTTCCTTTGATTTATGTTTCCTCACTTTGGATATTTCTTCCTCCAAAGCACAGTGGGAGGATTTACACAATGAGCTGATATGAATATTATTTTGATACCTCAAGACAATCCATGTTGAGATAACAAAAAATGTAGTTCAGTTCTTGTACATTCAATGTAAATCCAAAATTTCTGTGGAACAGAGGTCCTATGAATTTGATTTCTCTTTAAGAAATGCTAAATCAAAGTGGGATGGAAACTCGGATGAAGACAAATATTCAAGACTTAGTCTCAGAACATCACTGTCTCCCTATTAGTTGCCTGCGTGTAAATATCATAATTAACTCCCAAGTTCTTCCTCTCAAATACTTCAGTGACTTAAAGGTAAAAGGGAAGCAAGAGATAAGATGAAAGCATTATCTGAATTGCTGATAAAATGTGAAATACAGGGCAGACTCACAAGCAACATTAAGATTGCAATGCAATTTCCTAGGGAGTTTTCCAGCAAACTGGATGCTGTTTTTGAGCAGTCACCTTCTTTGTATGGCATCCCTAATGAACAGTGATAAAAAGCACTGCATTTTTTTTATTTGCCTTTTTCCACCAATGAGAAACTATGTTATCCTCACAAAGGCTCTTGTTTATTAATAGGCTTTAAGAATCTTTCTCTAAGAAAACTGTCTGGGATGCTACATGAAAAGTAGAATAATCTGAAGTAAGGGCATTTAAGAAAAAAAAAAAAAAATCAAAAACAATCCAAGGAAAGAAAAGAAGTTAATAGGCCCAAGAAAAAAAAAAAAACCCGCAGATGTGAGCAATAAATCTCTGTTCTTAGTTCTGTCAAAATAGTGCTGTTGTTGTTGTTTTTAAATATTATGACTAGATGAAGCTTAAGAGAATATGCAAAGAATAATCTTGATAATACAAAATTTCATTTTAAACAACCCTATCAGATTTCAAATCTAGAAGATAATCCAATGCTAAGAAACTAATGGGATAAATAGGAAATGCTGGCAACTAAAGCTGTGGCACTTCCTTCATGCTCCTTCCTGAGAGCTGAGAGGGATGTACCTATCCCAGTCCACAAATACCGCAGTATCCACTGAGAAATTCTGCAGCTCTTGGGGCATCATCAGTACAAGGCTGGAATAATCATGCAGAAGTCTAGTTCTTTCACATGTATCCTTCACACTTCAGCTCCTTAGAAACAATATTTTTTCCACCCATATATCTCAAAAGAGGAGACAATAGTGGAAAGCTAGTTATAGCTTTGGATTAATAAAGAATATATGGATGAAGAGAAGGAGTATAATTATGTCAAAGTGGTTCAAGATCATATAAAATTTAGCACAAATTTTCTTTCTTTCCATCCTTCCTGGAAGTGAGTAGAGGAACAAAGAACTACACCTGACTTTATTTTGGAATCTAATCTGTATTCATCATTTTTCCAAGTGTCCTGTAAAAGGTCTGCAACCATTTTGGTAATGCAAATAGGGCTTCTGGTTTAATTTAAACTGATATTTACTAGTAAAAGCCTGCTGAAAAAACCAAGACTTACCGGTAAATATTAGTTTATTCCCAAAAGATACCAACTTTTTTCACACTGTTCTTAGACTTTGCACTCCAGCAGTCATCTTTACACCAAACAATGCCTAAGACAAAAATGAGCTTTTCAGCTTTACATATATTTGCCAAAATAATTACCAACCCTCCCCCATGTAAATTGAGTGGGAAACATACTCTGTGAGAATTGGATCCAGAAGCCCTAATTCTAACTCTTCTTTAAAGGAGATATATATGTATATACAATGTATATAAATATAAATTCTCAGATTAGGTGAATGTGTGATGAATTCTGCATAATAATAAGTATTATAGTGATTTCTAATACCTTAAAACCCGATCTGATGCCTGGTTTGATTTTGACACATCACAGTTCTGATGCTTCTCTTGAGCTTTAGCCAGTTTCTCTGCTGCAGCAATAGGACATCCAGAGAGGCTGCAATTACAGAAAGGAAATTTAATTTTCTTGTCCTGCGTAGTTTCACATTATAGCACTGATCCAATTACTCCTTCTCCTCCTTAGCCTGTATCAGGATGAATCTGAAGGAAAAGACTTTCCAAAAGCTTTTCGGTCATGTGTATTTTCTGTAGACTTCCTTTCTTCTGTTTTCAAAGTTATATGGTAGATCTTAGAACTGTTCTTCTCTGATGTATGTGGGTAGATTATTTATGGATGTCAGCCAGTGAACATACCAGTAAAAGAGGAGAATATAACCTGGGATCTATTGTGCAGCTCTGTTAGCAGACTTGTAACCTTTATGAATCTACAAATGTTGTCAATGAAATGGCTTCCAAGGATGATTAAACACCATGTAGGCCAAATTTTGCACTGCTTCACACTTTATTCACCTTCATCAAAAGCAAGTTACATAAATGAGTGCAAAATTTGGTCTAAGGTCTCCAAATCTTCATCTCAGATATATTATGCCTAGTGATTGTTCATGAAATTCAAGCACCAAAGTATGTTTTCTAATAATAGATGATATAACATGAAAGGAAATTCTGCACTTGAAATTCAATTAAATTTGCAAATGCTGAACTACTATTGCATTGACTAAAATAAGCCTTTAAAAAAAAAAAAAAAAAAAAAAAAAAAGATGCAGAACAGTAAAAAATAAGTATCTGATGCCAGCAGATGGTGCTCTTAGTGAAGCTGTAAAAACCTGTGACCTGACAATGGAGGGGATCCTTTCCTTGTCACGGTCTATTGCGTGTTTATGTGACCGCAGTTCTCTGTGTTCTCCACAGGAAAAGAAAATGAAAGGCAAATCAGTGCATTCCCAGATGTTCCCTTCTCTACAGGGAAAAAAAAATAAAACAGTGAAGCAGAGCAAAATGCCCCAAAAGCTGCAGAAGGAGGTGAGCAGAGACTGCAGACTGCTCCTTTCAGCCCTTCTTCAGTTTCCTACCTCTGCAGAGGGTTGCGGGGGCTCTGGAGTCATGCCAGAGGGCAGCTGCTCTCTATTGACATGCTCTTTTCAGACACCTCTAATAATCTAGTAGATATTCAACCAGAAGTGAATACTGCTTCAAGCAGTAGTAAATCCCATGACACCTTCTCAGAGATTTTTGCCGCATCTAACAGCAGCATCACTACAGAGAAGAAAGGGGTACCAGAGCTTATGTACAGGGTAAGGTACCCACAAGAGTCTTCCAGGAGGCATGCAGTAAATACACGGGGCTCCAGTAAGGCAGAACTTGACAAGACTGAGCATTCAGTACCTGTGTAGTCCCATCCCATTGATGCTACAATTAACAGTAAAAAAGGAATTAAATAGGAACCTTGCATCCTTATACCATCCACTCACGTTTCCTGGGTTTTTTAAAAACTATAAAGAAATAAGCAAGATCTTGTATTTTGTGAGAATACTATGATCTACTAAAAGTTGCAGCAATATTTTGATAATTTTGTTATTTGTCTAAAAAAATTTAAAGGGAAACTGCATCCCTTCTATAAGATTCTATTAGTAATTTTAGGAAACTACAGAAAAGTTACCTTTTTCCTTGATCTCCTTTTGACTTTTTATATTGAACATTTTTAGCTTCTAATTTTTTAATGTAGTGAGACATTTTTATAATCTTTCTTAGTTGTGAATGAGGACAACAGGGTCAAAAGTATATTTTAAGTAGAAAAGTTACCTCTTATGATGCTTGTGTACCTAAAATGCTGTTTCTCATGTATAAAAAAATAACCATTTTTAGAAGTAGAGTGGAATTTTTCATGCAATATAATCTCTGACAAGAGTGAAGCGTGAGGATAAGAACTCTGCCCTAGTCTTGATGATGTTGGCAGATCCTTCAGTCTCCTTGTGACATGCCCATAAGGGAATCATACTCATTTTGCATCACTGCTAATACCAAAACAGAAAGGAGAAACCAAACCAAACCAAACCAAAACAACAACAACAAAAAACCACCCCAAAAGCTAAGGATGCTTGAAATGTATTCTGCAGATCAATTCATCCATTCTGAGGTAATGCACATTTATCCTCCTCAGAAAACACATGAAAAAATATAACTCTTTAAAGCAGATAAAGCACATGATGCACCATCTGTCAATCTTAGAAACAACACAACAGAACACACATTCACACTCCCCCCCTGCCATGGACTGCTAGAAGGGCTGCAGTTTGGAGGCACTGTTCCCTCTAGGTTGGTGTCCAGTGATGGCATCCTTACCTTCGGTGGGAATTCCTGTTGCTATTTACGTGGCCCCGGCCTGTGCAGCCTGGTGTAGGACACTTAAGAACATTTTCATGCATGGCAAGAACTTGACAAGGAGAGTAAGAGAAAACAGCAGAGTATGAAAACAAGAAAAAAAAATCAAATCCCAGTATATATGAAACCATTTTAAAACAAAGCAGGATTCATTAACAACCAGCATTCCTCAAAATACACATGACACACATAGCCAATAAAGCCTGATGAGGGAAATAAGTACTGTGACCCTATATTCTAACACAGGGCAACAGTGAAAGTTATGAAGGCTACAGAACCTATAATCAAATGTGTCTCTAGTGCAACAATGAAGCACAAGACTTCCCACATCCTCATACAAAAACACTGAGCAAAGATCTGCTCAACAGCGAACAGCGAGCTAGCAACAGTCCAGTAAAAAGTTATGGACTACAAAAATTCTTCCAGAAAATGTATGCACTCAGAATATGTAACTTTACACACACAGTATCAAGCTCGAGAATGAAAATCTGCTCTCAAGTTATACTGGTGGAACACTGGATTACTTGAAATATGCCTCAATGCAAGACTGATTAGAATTTGATACTAACTGCAGGACAGCCCAATTGATCTAGGGCCCAGTTCTGCCCACATCCACATAGATACCTATGTCTATATGAGGAGTAGAATTGGCCCTTCCATATTTTAACTTGTATTTTCCATAGATGTGAAAACTGCAATTGATAGACTTTTTGTTAAAAAAGCCTAAAAATTAAAAATAAGCAGTTAAAAAATTGAGGGATGGTGGAAAAAAAAAAAAAAAAAAAAAAAAAAACCTAAAAAAAAATAAAAAAATAAAAGCAGAAAAAAAAAAATAACCCAACCTTTGTAAAAGAAGAAACAAGTGGAACAAGCTTAAGCTAGTAAACTGATTTACATCTGCTTCCACTGCAAACTGAATGGAAAATTTACTCCTACAGCTGCTGAGAGCAGGTCTTTTCTGAATCAAAACTCAAGCTAAGAAGTTCCAAATTATCACAAGCTTTTTCGTTACATGAGACAATTCCATGTTATGTGAGACATATCTGAATCCAAATCTCAGAGCTGGATGACAATATATCACTCTATGGAAAGAGGCTATCCAACTCCTTCAAATTCCTTGTTTTCTCATTCAAGCACTAGTCTGGAAATCTGCATTTAGTTCTCACTCAAAAAAAAGTTCTAACAGAATCAATAAATTCCTTGACTGAGTAAAAAATGGAATAAATACTGTTTAGAAAATTGGAAAGTTAAACCACATATACTGATTAAATGATAACCATCATCATCATCCCATCATCAGTGTACTAAAACATGTATAGATGCAGTTTTACTCTGAAATTCCTACTATTTAAAGCTGTTCTTGAAACATGCTTCACAAGGCCAACATCACAGGAAAAAAATAAAAGGATGAGCTCACCTTTTCCATTTTAGTAGGTACAAGAGCATGCAAACAGTTTAAAGCTATATTCTTCTTTGATTTGCATAGTCTTCTACAGGGCTTTTTATTTACCATTTATAAAAATGAGAGAACTTTGAGCAACTGAAAGGATACTTGTGTTGCAGAAACTTACAGGGTCTTACAAAGCAAAGAATAAATCTATCTGATCTACTGTGTTCAGAGATCAACCAAGATGAAGCGAAGTTTCCTAAAGCACTTCCTCATTACTTCTGGAAGAAGCCAGTCTACTACGAAAGAGAAGACTTCTTATTTCTGCTTCTCTTGGTGTGCTGATCTATTTCCATTTTCCTGTCCTTCAGCATCTAGTTTCCCCGGGAAATTGGAGATCATTACAGCCCTGTCTTTAATGTTTCCTTTTGCATCTTAAAACTCCGTTGAAGTTAGATCTGTAAGTGCTAACGGACAGCAGGGATTTTAGGCCCATAGGATTCAAAAGAATAACTCCATTTTGAAATTAGTTTCAAATATAACTGGACCTTAGCAAGACACCTGCCTGGGATATAGCAGCATAGAGCAATTATCTTCAAGAGAACTATGCCATTTCTACCAATCAAGGAGGTGAATTCCAAAAATGGAGCCCTGTGCCTATATCTATGTCTGGATGGGTGAACTATCTTTGCACAGAATCCACTGACATGACAGGAAATTCCATCCATGTAACTGACAGGGGAATATTGCTCAAAATCCTGAGTTTTATAATAGCGTAGATAGCCAAATTGTTATTTTTAATAATATCAATTAGTTTAAGATAAATTATGTTTAAGATACAACAATAAGAGAGGAAAGGGGTTGCAAGTTTTTCAAATAAAATTATTCCTGTACAAGACAATAGAGACAGTTGATATGACATTAGCACGCAGAAGTAAAAGCAGTGCACATCTTCGTGAAATCTTTTTGTCTGTTGACTAAATAAATCTACACGAATAACCTAGCATTATTAAAATCAAAGAATACAGCTTTAAAAGTTGTTGTTTTAGTGTTAAAGTTAGTAGAGAATGGAAACGATGGAAAAAAGGAAAAAATTGTAACACAGAACAGTTGACTAAGTTGAGACAAACCATACTGAAAAAAAAAATTAACTTTTAAAATAAAAAGTTTTAACAGCATGCTAGAAAAATCCCTGTAGTTTTATCCCCAGTTTCCATGAAACAATGTGAACTTACTTTCTGGAGGGACCCTATCTTTGTGTGGGCATCCTGACAAACTGCGGTGATGGGGGTAAAGCCCCGTTACATGGCCAGTTCCATCACACCCAGGGGTAGGACATTTGCTCTCTTTCTTTTCTGTTCTTGAGGGATCTATAATTTACAACAAATGTGTCAAGTGAATGATGCTTTCCACATTTCTGTAAGAAGGTTCATTTAATCATGTCATTTACTCTTTGGTAAATGTTCATAAGAAAACTAGAAGAAAAAAAAGAAACCACTACTGCTTAACACAGTTCTGGAACTTTTATCCCATTATATCATTTTCAGACTGCAGAGTCCTATGATCACAGCAATACCCATCCAGAGTGACTGGAAAGTGACCTTTTTAGAGCAAAGCCATTCCACTGTCAATCAATGTTCTGCTGGCAAGCATCAGCTCAAGGGTGTAAGGTCATTTGGAAACTGTTTAGTTGGAATTTCCCATCTTTACATTCTTACTTGTCTGATATATTGAAGTCTACAAACATACTGTCATAGAAGTTCAATTCCTAACAGTAGCAAACCCAGCTCTTTAGCACAATGATTCAAAGATTCTGCACAAACAAATTCCTTTTCCAAGGCTCTCTGAACAGATTACTCTATTTTCTTTAAATTCCTTATAAAGCAGTATCCATTAGGTACATAATCCTTCTCTTCAATAAATTAAGGTGGGGTAAACGCTGTAATCGGAATTACAGAACATAGCATTTGCTGTGGAAATTTGGGCCATAACAAAAATGCATGTATGCTGCATAAAGAATATTCATAACTTTAAAAGGTTGACGATCTTTTAGAATGTTGTTGGATCTTCTGTCTACAAATCAATAAAAAGTCTGAAGAGACTTTTTTTCAACAAGATAAAGTTTTCTGCCACGTAGTAGAACTGCTGGTGAAATTAATCCTGAACTAGAATGTTCATCAGCTGTAGTTCCTTTTATAGAACATCTGTAAATAACATTACTAGCCTTCCAGCCCAGCACATGATACATATCATATCACATTGTCTTGACCACAGTAGTCAAATTATGAGAGTAGTACAAATGTTTACATTAGTATTGAAGGAATGAAATTCAGAATACTCTAACTGCTACCACTGATATTCCCTTTCCAATTTTTTTTTTTTTTATTATTTTTTTTTCAGTTCAGCATCTTTTCAATACCCAGTCAGAGTTATCCTCATTTAAGTATATTTTCCTGTTCTCATCATTGCTCTGCTTCAGGATTTATGCTTTCTCCTCTGGAAAATAAAATTTTGCTATGCATTTTCCACAGGATCTTTCTTACGTTAAATGCCATCCCAGCTTTAACAAATGCAACCCTCAGTGCAATTAGTGGTAATTTCAGTACTTGCAGATCTTCACACACAATCCATTTTTTAAAGCTTTAGTAAATAGAATCCAGAGCTCATATTCAGTTGTGGACTTATTTTTCCTTGATTTCCCTCTGGTAGTTTTGTGCAAATAAACTCTTACATTCCACATCCTTTAGAAACACCTTCATTTTAGCAAAACACTTCAGCTCACTGTAAGTGACTCTCCATGTCTTAAATACATTCTTCTATTTTAATACAATATTTAAAACTTAACTTTTGCAACTGGAATCCCTAATTGTGAAAGTTTTACTTTACTTAGCCTGTATGTTGACTGTAAAATACAGTTCTTTGTTTTACTCTCTTTAATAATAAATGTACATACAAATCCATCTTCAAAGTGCAATAGAGTTATCACAACACTCCTGAAAATACCATAACCTTATACTTAAGGAAATTGAAACAAAGAGATCAAAAAATTAAAACCAAGGCCACAGAAGGAGTGAATGTCAAAGGAGGGATTAGAGGTCTTGCCAAATAGGCCTGTGCTGAGACCACTAGAACATCAAGCCCACAGCTACATACATACACAGTTCTAAGCAATTCTTCATGTCAAGAACTTTGGAATGCATAAAAGTATTAGATATATGAAAAGGTAACATAAATGAAATACAAATTATATAAATATAACAATATTTGAGGACTGTAAAAAATGTAGATGATTAATAGACCATAACGGCTTTTTATAGATTTTAATCTAGAGGAATTTTAGCTACTTCATGTTGCCATAGCTCCACAGAGGTTAATGAAGATATTCTAATTTGGAGCAACTGAGAATCCTGACACTTAAAGCGTCAAGACAGTTCTCTACTGTATTCAAGACTATGCTGAAAAGTTATAGTACGTATCAGATACTTAGGAGCCTTTATGGTCTAATGAGTCAGAAAAGATGCTGTATACTCTTCGTAATTGTTTCAAGACTTACATAAAATTTCCCATTGCTTTTAATGGAAGACATCTGACTAAACTTTCCATAACTTTTTACAGAACACTGGATACTTTTCTGCAAATCCTTTATTTCCAAAGGGGAGAAATATTGCATACTGTTATTTAATTCTGCAACATTTCTTCACTCCATGTCACAATGGCTATATTCACAGAATCATAGAATCATAGAATGGCCTGGGTTGAAAAGGACCAAAATGACCATTTAGTTTCAACCCCTCTGCTATGTGCAGGGTCACCAACCACTAGACCTATTGCCTGAATGATGGTTGTTAGAGGACTCAAAAGGAGTTTAAATTCACATGTTCAAATTCAAATTTGTTCAAATTCAAATTCAAACGTTTAAATTTTTCAGATAAAAGCTCTAAACAGCAAGGAAAAAATAGTTAGTGGTCCCTTAACAGTTCAGGACAGAAGCCTTGAAGTATTTCTCATTGCAAACCTGGGTACCCCAAAAGTTTCCACTTCATCATATCATTTATCTCTGTGGATATCTCTTCTAGGAGTATTTGGAAGATAATATATCAGTTGAGAACAAATGATATAAGCAACTGTCTAACTTAAAGCTTCCTTTCTCAACAACTACCTTTTTAATGTAAGGAAGGAATCAACTTTTCTTTGTTGTCTTAATTAAAGAAAGCATAGAACTATCCACTCCACAACATTTCTCAGTCCAAACTTCCACAACGTATCTTGGTCCAAACTTCCACAACATTCTTTGGTCCAAATGACCACAACACATAGCACGGTCTTTTGGTTCCCTGGCTGGGGTTTGGACCTATTATCAATTCAGCCTACAGCTCCTAAAGGACAGGATGTTTCAAAGAAGCTCTAGAATTTACTGAAATATTAAGTCCACAATATTGCTACTGTATTTTACTTATATTGTTTTAGGGCTTATATTGTCTTTTTGGAGATAGCAGATCTATATGCATAAATGCATACAGTCTATGTCTATAAAGATTGGAAGGATTGAACAACAGGAGAGTTAAAAAGCTCTTGAAAAATTAATAGTTTTTCCTTTTTTTTTTTTTTCTGTAATTTTATTAAAGACACGTATTCAAAGGGAAAAGGCACCTAACATGTGACACGTGAACAACATTTAGAACGACATCTAAATGGAAATGCAATAATACACTAAATTAACGTTGTCTTTCCCAAATACCCAAAATCACAATAGCCTTCACTGGACCATACATATAGTCAAAACCAGCAACACTTTGCTACAATACATCTCACAAGCGTATTTGATAATAGTAATTTCCGTGCTTTTCTAAGGGACTGGACATTACTTTTCTTAAAGTTTTGTAAAAAAAAATCAAAGCCTTGCTTGGACCAAGATGTTTTCTGCCTACCTGAATGTCTCAGGCTGATATTTGTCTTTCAAAACAGAGATTTATAAAAAGTAGGAAAATGCTCAACATCTCAGTTCATTTTTAGAAATGAATCTATTGCTATAATAACAAATACAAGATAAACTTAGTCCCTACTTACTAGCTCCCAAGAAATAATAGCATGACCTCAACTTCCACTAAAGTCAATGGGAATTAAAGGTGTTTGGTCACTTTCAGGAGGTATTGAATAATTTATACAACACAGCCCTACAGGTACAGCTGTAGATATGTTAAAGAGGAATGTGGTAAAATAAACACACCATAACAAGAATAATCCCATAAATTAAAATGCATTCTAAAATTAACCTTTAGTTTGCCTTTTTCAGTGTTTTTACTTTTTTATTATTATTATTTTTTCCTGTGTGTAGATATTGTGTGCGTGTGTGTATCTTTTATACTGAATTATGGTCAAGGCAGCACCTTAACTGTTTCCACAATGGAATGAAACCAGTGAAGTGGAATGCACATAAGAAATAAATTGCTATTGATCTCAGCCCAGGCCACACCATGCCTTGCATAGCAAATGGTTTCCATTACCTTACTATCTTAAGATAATTAATGTGCAGTCATTGCCCCTATCTTGTGTTATCGGTCATTCTGATACTGTTCAATTTCTATCAGGCAATTCTACATTTTAGATGGGAGAGGCTTCATCAATAACTGTCATTTGATGATAATTTTATAAATCACAATGCCACCTACCCAATCCAACCTGTAAAATATGCACTTCAAAGCTGATTGACTACCTGCTACATAAAACTCCACTCTCATGTTTTTAATAATCACTATAAAATATATTAAATATGAGAAAAATCTTTGCCTCTTTCAACATGATCTCTTGTTTATTTCCCTGAAAACTTATTTTTTCCGTTTAGCCAAATGATATTCACTGAAATACTGTGCATATTTCTAACATTGTAGAATGAATTACTTTTTTATAGTCACAGCATGAAACTATTTTACAATCATGCCATACTACCACAATTTAAACAAATTTACCATTTTGTGGAATTAATAAATTCATTTCAGAATTCTATGCAAAACTTAACATGTTAGTTCATACTTTCTCATGACATAACATACGGTATATAGAAATATTACCTTTACCATAATATGGCTTTTTGACATGGCCGTCACTGGGTTTAGGCTTCCTGTCATCCCCAGAAAGTTGTCTTGGAGATTGTTCCTCAAATGATCTCATATTATCCCTCCTTCCAGCTTCCACTGCCATTTTTTCTCTCATGGCTTTTGCTCTCTCAGTTTCCAAAGCAATTGCTTTCTCAAGCAGCGTTAAGTTACCTTTTGTCATATCAAACACTTCTTCAGACCTATCTGAAGTAACAGAGGTGGTATCATCATCTCTTTCGTGACAACCATCCTCCTTTGCACAGCTAGAAAAAGTCCTAGATCTGGGGCTCAACTGTTCTTCAAGCCTCATTAGGTTCATCATATCAGAGTAATTCCGGTCTGGTGTTCTTCCTTGGAAGTCATCTTCTTGCCTGACATGCTGACGAGTGTTCATGTTTTGCTGTTGATTTCTTTCCTGTGGGTTTGTCTCACTGAGTTTCCTAGCCAGATCAAAACACTGGTTCCTTAAGCACTCCAAACTGCTGAGACACACCTCTTCATCACTCTCCTCCACCATTTTTTCCGTAAGTCCATTGTTCACAGGCTTCCCTAACATTACAAAGTTCATATTCCTATTATCTTGCTGTGAAGTATTGTCTGCATAATTTCTATCATTAATGTTTTCTGATAGCACTACACCGTGTCCTTGTGCTAGTAATTTAAGGGAGTCCACTGTTTCCCTAACAACATCACTGTCTAAGTCTAAACTCAGCTCGCTTTTCCGACCAATATTTTCATTTTTGTCACTATCATCTTCCAGACTATTAGATGTATTGCTGTTCATTTCTGATTCTGTCCTGGCTCTGTATGCTGCATCCTCAGCAATTTTGCCAAGATTTAACAATGACTTGGCCACCAGTTCATCGTAATTATCATACTCATCATTATTGTTATCGTCTTTTTCTGTGTCTTGCATTATTCGAGTATTGTGACAATTCATTTGATGGTCTTCTGCATAAAAAACAGAAACAAAGAAAGAAACAAAGAAAGAAAGAAAAAGGAAAAGAAAAGAAAAAAAGTGGCTACAATTGGAACTGTTTTTGCAATCACATGGACAGAAAACAAACTGCATGTCAGATATTGTTAATTACACAGCAATTCTATTCAACTAAGGCCCATGTGCAGTTAAGTTTTATTAAGTGAATTTCTCTATAGTCCATAAAGCTATTTTTGTTTTTCTGCTATTCGTACAAATTTATTTCACAGTACTGATAAGATAAAAACAATCAAAGTGCTGACTTCTACTGATAAAATATTATGGCATACAAACTTCAGCTTCTCTTTCTCATCCCTACTTTCAGTTTTATGGGGTTTACTGCAACCATATTAGTAATATAACATAACTACCTCGGTTTCAAATGGTTCTCACTCCTTTATATTCTGTAAATATGGTAAATGGGAAAGGAGTGAACACTACTGGTTTTATTCTCTTAATGATGAATACAATTCACCAAAAGAGAAAAAAATATACACCAAACAGGAAACGGTCATTTTTTTTTAACATCATACACATCATTAACAGTAGAACCAATGGCTATATGCTAAGATCAAAATAACATTTTACTTAGTGTATCCAACAGCAGAAATCACAATCTCTTAGTTTAATTACATCAACTGTGGAGAAGTACAAATTTTAAAAGAATTGTTATATGAATGGAAGATAGAAGTAATTATATGCATAATGCAATTTTAAGTTAATATGCTTGTCCAAATTATATGGTCATACATGTATGGTAGGGCTATCTACTACCCTGTGCATTCTAACATAGAGGTGCAGAGGTATCATGTTTTTTACTTAGTTTTGATTTAGCAGCTGTTGAAAAGTAAGGGGAATATGTATTAAAACTGAGCCAGTGTGAGGCCCTAAGGGTGAGATTCATTTCACCTAACTTTAGACATGAGTAAGGCAGGCATCTGTATCCCAGTAATCTGCTCAATATTCCTGTCCTCGATCAGTAAAAGAGGCAGACACTATAAGGGTATAATCCACCTGATCTGACTAAGGTATCTTCCTCAGAATTAAATGAATTACTTACTAAAAGTGCCTGTTCTCTTCATTGACAACAAAGGGGCTCAGAGCAGATGCCTACCTTAAAGATATCTGTATTTGGTCAGATGAATATCATCCAGAGAGCACTTTCTGATATCTCATGTTAACTCAGAAGTTATGTTATTATTAGACCCGTTCTTAAAACAGATACACATTCACCATGGCTTACTAACAAATGTCTCATAAATTTTACTTTTGATTATCAACTACTCAAGCAATATTTAAATGAAAGGAAATTTCCTAAGTCTGTCATTATGTTGATGTGTTATGCCAGTTTTTTAATCTATTGCAAACTCAAAGAAATCAGTAGAGAGCCAACAATTAAAACCTAGTCAAAAGCTAGTCCATCAACTTGCTAATATCATATTTTCTGCTCAGATGTATTTGCATCACTGGTGCACCTAAATATACAGCACTTTCTAAAGTGTGACTTTATGTTTTGGGCTAAGCAAAACAAAGTGGAAAAAGTTCAGCTAGTAGGTGGCTTGTATACTAACATTTTGATCACAGAAAAATAGTTTTTTATAAAAGTAATTTTCAGGTCAGTGGACAAGAGAGTAAATCAGAATTTTAAATACAAAGCTCAACAGCACAATAATTAATATTTCAGCCATAAGATAGTATTGCTTCTACACAGTGGTTAGGGATCCTGGGATGATAGTAGGCTGTAGTTAAGCAGCAGACCTGATAGATGACTAGGCTATGTCTAGGAAAAAGAAGCTGTGCATGGAAGTTACTATATATTACCTGTTATCCATTTGAATACAATGGGAGGCTAATTAGCAGGAAAGTGTATTATGTTGTTTTCACATAACAAGATATTCTTAGTCAGCAGTGAGTTACCTATTTATCATTAAGGATGGTTTTATTTTAGTTGCTGTTATTCTCAAGATAATCATTATTCATATTCATATTTCTGTCTACTAAAAATTACATACATCTAAGTATCAGTTTTTAATAGTAAGGGATGTCACTTATGCTTCCTATGTGAAAAATATTCATTCTGAATGTCTTCATAGAAATATTTAAGGTATTCTTAAATATTCTTATTCTGCAAGAAGGTATTTAAGGATTACTGGATAATTAGTTTGCTTTATCAGAAAATCAAATTTTTCAGTATACTAGTGATCGTTTTCTAAAGGAAAATGTACAAACAAGAACCCCATTTATTTAGATTTAAGACTAAAACCTACTGCCAAGAAGACTGTTAAATAGAAACTGCCGCAATTTTGGGGGTGCTTCTTGTAGCTAGATCTGATTGGCAATTAGATGTAGAAGGAATATCAAAGTAATTAAAGAAGCAGTGCCTTCAAGCTTAGTATGAAACACAGAGAAAAACTGATGAAATCAGTCCAAATTTAACAGGATACTGAAATAAAGCATGGGGAAAAAATATGTTTTCAAAAGCCATCCAGAGAACTGTTCAGGTAAGAAGTGACTACTCTAGGCCAACTCCTAAAATGTAAAAAAAATAAATAAATTTGAGGGTTTGTTTTCTACATAAAGGTTTTTGTGTTTGCTTTTATGTGAGTAAGAGTCATGTAAATGATTATCAAGGGAGGAATGTGTTATAGCTTGCCTCCACAACAGTAAAAAGTCAAAATATGAGTCACATACTGTATGAATGAAGACATGTAAATTCCTTTTGAGTAGGTGAAGCTGGGTGAAAGCTGTAACTATAATGTTTTTTATTCTGTTTGGTTATATCCTTTTCAGGGCTCCTGCCCGTTCATTCCTAAAAAGAAGAAGAAAAAAAGGTGGTGGAGGAGAAAGGTGTAAAGCATGAATCCTGGATGAGAGAGGCAGGAAAACAAAATATTTTAATCTAGATTCATACCTCCTCTTTCAATTTTTCTGTCCTTTTCTTAGATCTGCTACTTTCTTCAACAACTATTTTTCACACATTTCTTATCACTATGAAGCAGTTAATTCCAAGAAATACATTGTTTATGCATACTGTATCATCTCCTCAATAATAGTCTGTTGTATGCTAAGCCTTCTGACCTGATCTAGTGAAGCACCCTTGTCACTTGTTTATTAAACTAAAAGTTTAATAAATTAGATTGCCTTAGTTCACTTCCACAAAATATGCCAGCCTAGCAGTTCTATGTGAACATATGTGTCTTTTATTCAGCTGCGTAAAATCTAATCTTGATTACACTTCATGTTTCTATGCTTCCTTAGATTTAACCTGTAACTTCTACTAACCTTAACATGATGTTATTTAATGGTTGTTAAATGACTGCGAAGTACGTAGGACTAAACAGCCTAATCTATTCCTTACAGAACTTTTAGAATCACTGACTCAAATTACATTTTTTTTTATTTGGAGAAGCATCCGAGTCTCTCAAAAAGAAACAAGTCAGCTAATTAGCTGAAGAGCCGCCAGTAAGATTTGGGGTTGCATGGAAAAGGAATATGCAACACAGTTTAAAACAAATATTAGGTTATTTTAGCCCTCAATCCCAGAATACTGTGACAATTTAGTAATTAGTGAATGCAAAATTTGTTTTGTTTATTCCCCAATAGATAAAACAAATGTCAGACCAATTATAGGAATATTTGGAATAGGTAAAAGAGCTGAAAGTCTTTAGACATCTGAACAAAAGTGCACTCTTGTACTGCAGTAAAAAATAAAAATGTGGATAATATGATTTGTTATTACACCTTTCATCCAAGGATCTCAAAGCACTTTACAAACATTATATTAAAAAGCCTCACAACACCCCTGTGAGGTAGGTATTTTCAGCCCATTTTACAGATGGGAAATTAAGATACAAAGCAGGTGAGTGACTCTATGTCATACAAGGAGTCACTGGCAAATAAGGGCTGTAGCCTCTATATCGATGCTACCTCCTTTTGTTTCTATCATTTATTTATGTGAACAACTTCTTGACGGAATAAATGGCTTGCTATGATTTTAGTGTAAGGAGTAATGCAAAATGGCACCTTCATTTTGAGTATGGTAATATATAGCAGTTAGTTTGAGAGATTCTGCAGAGAGAGGCAATGATACTTCAGTAATAATAGCAACTATACTCCTATTGAAGACCAAAGACTTCTGAAATAAGAATTTCCAGATCTGCGTTCTGTGTATCAAATTACTCAATTTCTCCCAAGCATGGGAAAACACGATGGCTAACAAGCTGAATCTACATGTGGTCATATAGGCTTCCCGCCCAGAAAGATGGCTTCATTATCCATGCAGCATCACCTGTTGTAGGACACTTCACTGCTCTTGCTGCTGCCTCTTGTTAGTTCCTAAGTGCTCAGCATATGTTACTACTGTGCTACCATTTTACTCTTCATCTAAACTATAAAATGGGATACATGCATATTTAGCAAAACAATCTTGATACAAATTCCAAAGCTTACACGTTACAACATCATATGGGATAAGGTTCTTTGTACAATGAATGTACAATTGAATAGAAAAATCTTAAGAATAAGAAAGCTGAGAATGTGGAAAACTTAGTGAGCTTACAGCAACTTCTGAAAGGGTTTTGGTTTCTTCTCCACTGAAACTGAAGAAACAGAACACATATGCAACTCTACTAAGCAAAATCTCTAGAAGATTGAATACCCCTATTGATATCAGATTTGGACCAGAGCACAAGCCTTTAAATTTGCCTATTTGAGGCACACACTTAAAAATGAAGTTGGCCTCGTGCAGTTTTTCATATTTGCAAGAATTCCTGAAATTCTTTTACACTGCTTTAGGTAAAGACCAAAACAATTTATCTTTACAGTTTTTGATTCCTTGATGGACCTTACATTACCTACTGACAGCAAAAAGAAAAAAATAACTGTTCACTTCTGTATTTGATGCACTTTAATTATTAAATTAGATATGTGTGTGTGTGTGTGTGTTTGTATCAAAATCCACCCCCTCACACT